TTGGTGTCGTCTGCAAATTTGATGAGTTCCCCATCTGTCCCCTCATCCAAATCGTTGATGAAGATGTTGAAGACCACTGGGCCCAGAACAGAGCCCTGGGGCACCCGACTACACACTTTCCTCCATGTACACACAGTTCCATTGAGGACTACACGCTGAGTACAGCCGGCCAGCCAGCTACGAATCCATCTGGTGGTGATGCTGTCTAATCCACATTTTTCTATCTTATCAAGTAGTATGATTGGATATTATATTATCTGCAGCTTAAAATAAAGGCTCATTTGAGCTCCTGGTAATTTTTTGACAATCTTTATACTTTTCTTGGCAACAGTGTAGTCTTTTTCCAGAGTGCTTTTTTTGCTTTTCCAGCCCAAGGCGTTCTGGTAGTCAAGTACTAAACAAGACCAAACTGCTTAGCTTCTCAAGATCAGCCAAAGTCACTTAGTTGTTGTCTTTAGTTTTTGCAATGTATAAAATCACATCAACTTCTACTCTTTCTCCAGTAACATATAGTTAAAAATTATCACAGAATATATCTAGCAAGCATCTTCTGTAATAGGCATTTGCATTAGAAAAACCTCAGAATATGTATTGTTTAGCTTTCTCAGATAAATATGACATAAAGATGTTTGAAATAATTCCAATGTAAGCCCTTATACTTAAGAAAGTTCAACAGGGTAAAAGAAAAGGAGGTGGGATAGGGATGGAATGAGACAATAATTGAAGAAAATTCTAAACTGGGAAGTTTGCTCTAAGATAATAAATCATTCTACCTGGAATTCCTTGTCTGTTTTTGAAACACAGGACATGTTCTTCAAAAAAACAACAACCCTAAATGCTTCAAAATCAAAGTTAGGAAGAATCCATTTGAAAAAACTGTAGCATATACATCCAATAAAATAGGAGATAAAAGAGCAACATATTTTTATATCTATTTCATCATAATCAAAGTCAGGCATCTTTCCTAACATCATAAGTTTAATTATATACACAATTTCTTGAAGTAAATTGATAAAGATTATTGTTCTGATCCAATAAATGTAGCAATCTTTCTGTAAAAAAAACTATATCTCCTACTGACGAAGAACTACAAAATATTCTAAAAAATGCAATAAATTGTCAAATAATAATCTAGAATTGTATATACTTTCACATTTGTGTCCCAAGTGGATAGTATATTTTATTGCTTGTTTTTTGAGTCTAAAAGCCTAAGAGAATTCTATCCCTTTTTCTTTTAATATCTAATAAAATGCAGTGTAATCTAATAAAAATCCTTTAAAAGGATTAAGTTCATGTTTAATTTATTAAATTCATATTTAGCAGATATCAAAGATCTATGTAAGGAAATATATAATCATTCTTTAACCTGCTCCTCTAAGAATTTAACTTTACTCAATTATTGTTCTATAAATATATGTGATAAGACCCTGAAAAAATATTTCAACAGCTTTTCATTATCAAAGTGTTGAATACAGTTGAAAACTGTTAATACGAAAAAAAATCACCTCTACCTTTTGCTTAATAAAAGTTTTATTTTTCAGAATGCTAAATATAACCTTATCACTTAAAAGCTTTAAAATTTTTGCCACATAAATTAGTATCACTGAAGCACCGTGTCAATGCTGCTAACATTGAATGTTCCCGCTCTGACAACTGATGAAAATGCAGCCATTTTCTCTTCTTCTTTAATATGCTTTTTCTGGTATTTAGAAATCAGGTGTAGAAGGGGGGGATTGGAATGAAAACTCAACTAGCCACAATAATGCTGCAGCTCCCGCGTTTTAAGCTAATTGGAGAATGTGATTTATGACAGCTCATTGGGGGTGGGAATTGCACTTTGTTACTTTGTGTGTGGGGGGGAAGGGAATTTAGTTTTGGGTTTAACTATGTAGTGCCGATAGTTATCCCAAAGATGTTTTTTTCATGAGGCAACTGGACTTTCTTGCTTTTTCTTTGAAGGCGTTTCGCTTCTCATCCAAAAAGCAAGAAAGTCCAGTTGCCTCGTGAAAAAAGCATCTTTGGGATAGTTAAAAATAATGCACAATAACATTTCAAAAAAAATCAACTTTTAATAGGAATTTAGAGGCGAGATATATTTTAGACTCCCCACAGTTATGAAATGATTTTCAGTGTCAGTTGATCATTTTAGATTTTTCTCAAGAACTATTTCAAGTTCAAGTTAGTATTTCTCTGTGCCGGTGAACCTCTATGGTATAATCTGAGAAAACCGTCATGATTCTTTTTGTCTTCTCAGCCTATTGTGTACATCTGCCTTCAAGTCAATGTTGACTCCTGGCAAGTGCCTGGATGAGTCCCTATAGTTTTCTTGGCAAGAGTTTGGAAGTGGTTTGCCATTGCCTGCTTCCTAAGCTAAAAAAGAGTGACTGGCCCAAAGTCACCCAGACTGACCCAAAGTCCCTGGTGCCTAAGGCAGAATTAGAAGTCATAGTTCTCATTGTTACTTAACCATTATACCAAATTGGCTCTCACCTCAGTCTTACTTGAGCAATTTAAATATTTTATAAAAATTTATTCCTCACAGGAAATCTGAGGCTGAGTAGTTATAACAAAAAAATAAACTGGAATGTAATGAGCCCTCAAATTGATATATTTCATGCAAAGCTGACACTGTCTGATTAGGGCTTCCATAAAGTTCTTGTCAAATGAGCTAGCAACAGATACAAGGGCCATTATTTTGCACTGTTGAATCTCAATAGGATTTAGTAAATTAATTAGAGATATAATGGTTAACTTCATAACATTTTCCAGTAAGCTATTCTGTTCTCTGTCATATCTAAGCTAATGCTTACAGTATTTATAGCCTTTACATCCTCTTTAATCTCCAGGAGAATGGTATCACATATTTCTCAAAAGTCTTGCTGAATTTTCTTTGATACCATAAAGACAAGTAACAAACCAGTGCTCTCTAGTAATTGTATATTTCTGGTTCTGACAGTAACAAAGTAGCAATTAAATACATACCAAGATGAAAAAAACTGTATGGGTGACCATTTCTCTCCTCCCTATTTTCTTCTTAGGATTAAAATGACTGAGTCAAAACATCACTTTACTCAGCAGTTTTTGAAAAACACAGGACTTTGTCCTATTATATCCTGTTCTTATATTTTCCTATGTATTACCTTCTTCTGTTTCAAGTATGATGCTTGCATATGTAACCATAGTAGGCTATTTCATCAGCGTTTAGATCATGTTTTAAGTGTTTACAATAACCAACTGATTCTTTCCATATTATCTTAGGGAGCTAGTAGGATTCAATATTTAATTTCAAGACTGGGAAAATTTATGGCTAGTAGTTAATAACCACTAATAATCATACAGAAATAATCATACAGAATTTACTGGTGCTCTAAATGTTGAAGGTTCCAACAACTACAAGAAACTAGGCAAGTATGAAACTCTGATGAGAATTGCAGTAAGTCAGGGGTCAATAGTACAGATAGGTGAGGCAAAAAGCCCCTTCTTTTACAAGAACCGCAAGAGCAAAACCCTTAATTGTTCGTACCACTGTATTCTTTTTGAAACGAAGGCCATTTGGGCCAGAAAGCTTTCCCTAAGATAGCCAACTTAAGAAAATTCAGTTTCATCAAGAGTAAATTGTGATTATCTTCAACAAGTAGTGTTACAAGGAATTGTCTTGATCTCGTTTAACCTGTTTATCAGTAAGTTTCTCACATCGGATTTGAGCTAAAGGCCAAACATATATCTCTGGAAGCCCAGGCCTTCAGTTCCCCCAAATTTGACAAGGCCTTTAAATAACTCTACCTCTCCTAACTGGAAAAGCGACTGCTGCACCTAGAAGTCACACGAGGGAGTCGAGCAGAAAAACTTACACACCTAAAATAAATGCGAAGGAAATATGACTAACAGCGCCTGTTAATGAATAGGCAAACAAGTACTGAATGAGTCCTCAAATGTAAGCAGTCCAGCCATGAAAGTCCCACAAAGGTCGATATATATTGTCCCCCGTCCCAATCTTTCACACGTCAGGGTAAGAAAGGAGGCACGCGAGCCTCTGGCCCGAACTGTCGCGGCCTCCGAGTGAAAGAGCTGCCTCACATTCCTTGACTCCCTCCGCGCAGCCTGTCTCAGTGTGGTGGAAGGAGAAGAAACGCAGGGCTACCACTGGGCCGGCAGCGACCGATTATTCCCGCTTCCCTCCCACCCAGGCCACGTCCAGGGCTCTGGGTACCTGTCCTCGCTCTTGTTTTTCTGTTTTTTGCCCATGGTTCCAACCGTCTCTTCGGGGCTGGCTCTCTCGCTCGCTCTCCTTGCGCAAGGCCCAGCCAGCTGCCTCCACACGCGAGAGGGCACATATGGTGAGAGGCCAACGCGAACCCTCCACTCGGCAGCAGCCGATGCGCGCAGGCGCCTCACCTCTGGCCCCCGGCACGCAGCAGGCGGGGAAGCGGCGCGCAGAAAAAGCAGGTCGCCTCGCCAGGAGCTTCCGGCTGCGGCGACCGCCTCCTCTGGACGGAGGACGAACAGCAGCCAACTGCGTGAGTTGGGCCCGCATTCAAGAGGCGCGTCCGTCCCTTGAACGACCGGGGGGGGGGGGCACCGAGAGCGTTCACCACCTCGCCCCTCAGCAGCGAAAAGGCCCCGCTAATGCGCCACCCTTCGCTGAGGGCCCTTCCGAAGGCTGAAGGTGGGATCTGAGTGTTATCGAGATGGGGGCACCCAGGCGTTGGGGGTTGCAAGGTCTCGTGTGGCTTATTACAAGCTAACGGAATTAGCGCGACTCAGGAGTGGTATGCGCTGTGTGAAGCATTGCTTTTTGTTATGAATCCCCCTCACGCAACAAAGACTTTTCTTATTAATCGTTAATTAACGTGAACGTACAGCCGCGAACCAACCCCCTCTCGCTCTCACATTCATTCAGAAAAGGGTATGCGCACGACGCAAGTGCAAAAAGTTCGCCACTTCTTGACAGGTAACTGCTGCGTCAACAATAAACGTCTTCAGGACGCGTCGATGAGGCTAAAGGCGCATGCGCGGGACTCCCGGTGGGCGACCAGGTTCACTTACTGGGCAAAAACGCGTGGGACGTCGGGGTCCTTTCGGGGCTCCTTTGTGAAGCCAGTTGGGTGACGAGAGGCTCAGGGAGACATTTGTGTGGTTCTTCTACGTTCCTTTGTGGCCTTTCGATTTCTAACTAGTAAGTATCGAGCCGAAACGTTACTGTTTGGTTGCCTGGGTCTCGAAACAGTACAAATAAACGGTGTTTATATCATATTTCTTTTGGAAAGACTTGCTGATGATGATGTAGACAAGGAGTGGGTTGGATGCATCTCTGTTGGTTTTAGACTTAGGTTTCAGCTCTGGGTGGATAAGTATATTTTCCTTACCCTCTCTATCAGAAATTGCCTTTTCACACCCGGCCTCTCCTGCAATTATTCTTCGTGTTGGGAAAATAAAAGCAGATGTTAGTGATGGGAACTCTGTACATTAACATTAAAACCGTTGCAGAAGTTAAACAAAAGGTGATCTCAGCAGCATGTTTTGTTTTTACAACATCTGATATTTCAGATCTTCTTAACTGAAATCATATTTCCAGAATATGAAGTATGATGTCATCAATACTTAACCTTTAAAGTAGAGTATAATTAACTTTGGCTCTTGCTCCATTATTTATTGATCTTAATTAAATATATTTTACAGAATTTAATGGGGTTCACAAAACACCTATCCTGACTATTTTTGTGACATCCATGTATGAAAAAAAAATACTAAGCTACGAAGATCACTCAAAATCTTTATGTTGTTAAATTGTAGATGGGACACTGAGCGCAAAGCAGAATAGGTGGATGTTTTCCCCTCTATTTTTCATTGTTAAAAGTGGGTTATGAAAATTATAGTTAATAAGTATCAATTCAACAGATGTACTTGTGTTATGAAGAATACCTTTTCCAAGATTGTGCCTACTATGAGAGATATTTATAATTTAATGTATGATTAAAATAGCTTATATTTCTGAAAAAAGGTTTATAATATGTTGCTTTGCTGAATTTCTTTTCTAGAGTAAAAGACATACATTTAAGAATTGCTATTTTCTTGTAGTATACAGGAGATTTATCCTGAATCCAAACATGAATATTTTGGATGCAATAAAGCATCTTTGTGTGCCTACAGGTTGTCCTTGACTTAGAACACGTTGCTTAGTGACCATTCGAATTTACATTGGCACTGAAAAAAGTGACTTAGGACCATTTTTCACAACTGCAGTGATTCATTTAACAAATGTCATAAAATGGAGCAAAACTCACTTAACAAATTTCTCACTTAGCAACATAAATTTTGGGCTCAATTGTCATAAGTTGAGGACTACCTGTATTGTTTTGATGTAGGCTTTTGCCTAATTTAGCAACACTAATACTGTATATTGTATTAGTATCACAATTCATTATTATAAGATAAAATTGAGAAGCAATCATTTTGCTATTCTTATCAACGTGTTAGCTCGGGGATCTTTATATATTTGATAACTTACCTCCAAACAGATTATTTTGCTGAGGTGTTATGTTAATGCCACATGAAATCTTCTTTCATTTCTGATACTGTTTTCTTGTCTGTATGCTACATGATTCTTTTTCTTTTCAAGAGAGCATTCTGTATTATTTTAGGATTTTTTCAAGAATATTTACTGAACAAGTGTACTAGTTAACATTTTCATTAGACAATCCAATGCTATTTAATATATTTCAAGTCCTGTTACTACATGCTTATGTCTAAACTGGAATCCAGGTTAGTCATTGTTAAAGGTAGAATTAGATTCCATCAGAAAGGAATATCTATTTATCAACAATGGCAAAGTGGGCATTGATCTCAAAAAAAAGGCTTACTTCCATGGTCCAGATAGTATCTTTGCCTCTCTGAAATTTTGCTCTTCCTCATCAGTGATCTGATAATGGAAAAACAGACTGATTTCTTTTCTCCCAGCCCATGATTACTCTTCTTTTTCTTTGGAGAGAGAGACTTGCCTTTTATTTGTGCTTAAAGAGAATAAAAATGAAGTCATAATTTCCCACTCTATGTGTTTTCAGAATTATATATTCAGAATGAATTCATTCTGAACCCAATTCTGTAATTAGAGTATAGTATTAATGATTGATAATTTATCAAAGCAGATTCTGAAATTATTCTAACACTGATTTGATCCAGATCGACTTTAAATTTTGTACTATATGTTTTCCTATCTACTTAACAGTTTCAAGGGAATGTTGCCCATTATAAAGTAGAAATGGACCTCCATAACACTGCAAAGTATGAGAATTTTATAACAGAAATTTACTACAGAATTTCTCATCCCAAGAGTACCAAATTAGAATTCTAGTTCAGTAATCCTCACTTAAGATATATTTAAAATGCTGACTAATAATAAAAATGGTTCAGATATCAATGTCTGTTCCTGTATGACAACTCCCCTCCCCTGTACAAGACCTAAACCAAATAATCAGAACAAAAAGTATGTTTTCAACAATCCTTCTATCAAGTGACCACTATTTAACTAAAGTGAAAGAGTTAACTGCAGTCAGTTTTCAATTACATATTTTTATCTCTGTGATGAATCTGCTTTTAAATTCCATTGATATTTCTACAACGCCACATATACAATTGTTATTGTAATAATTATCTTTTCTGTTCTGTTTGGTTCTAACTTAAAATCTGCTTCATTTTTCAGGTTTAATGTGTCTGCTGCTAATTTGAAAAGAAAATGGATGCAGATACTTCCGTTGACGTATTTTCTAAAGCCCTGGAAGCTCAGATGCTTCAGACAGCTAACATTGTAGAAGAACAGCTTGATGCTGAAATGCAAAAAATGGACCAAATGGATGAAGATGAACTGGAACGTCTCAAACAAAAAAGGCTTGAAGCACTCAAGAAAGGTCAGCAACAAAAACAGGTAACTGACAAATATAAGGGCCCAAATCCCTTCTCCTGTATTGCATTCAGAATCTTGAAGTATCTCTACAAACTAGGCCACTCTTATTCCACTAACACATAAAGAGATGAAGTTAACAAAATGTTAGCTTGCTTCCAGTTACAGGGATTTGAGATGAAGTGAAATTAAAATAGTAAATTCCATTAAAATTTGAGGGCTTTAGTCAACATTCATATGTTTATTATTACAGCCTTACAATCAACCTTTGCAAATTTAATCTAAAGTATTTTAACAGATTTAGTGAAATATACAAATATGAATTGCCTCAGGATACAGTCCTATGCACATTGGGAGAAACCCCTATTGACTTAGTACAACTTAGACTATCTGATTCCCTGTAGTTAGGCATCAGACTAGCTACTATAACATTCTAGCTTCTTGAATTCTTTTGACATTGGCTGACAGATTCTTCAAGTGTTTAACAATTCCTGCCAAAGCCAAAATTGTCCTTTCATTATTTTCCATATAGTGGATGAAAAACAATATAATAATATCTTATTGTGCCCAAATACACCAGTCTATACATATCTTAAGTCTTCCTGAGTCATTACAATTATCAACATCAATAAGTGTTGTGATATAAAAAAACTCAGGGATATACACAAGTGTAGTTGAAAATCTTTATGAAAGGCTGGATTGAGTTTTTTCTGCTAAAAATGCATGAACAGTTTTTGGGAGCCAAATGGTTACCCTTGAGCTTGAGTAGTATGCAGGAGGCCACAGTTTTAAAAATAAAGATGAAGTGAAAAAGTGAATTTGATATAATTTACATTTGCAATGTAACTCAAATACAAACTAAGTAATTGCAGTTCCTATATCACTAGAATGGCTTCAAGAATTTTAGGGTGGAAGTGATATTTGGAATACAGATATTTGTGACTAATTAAATTACTGTATGAATACACAATGGTTGCAGCCCTATATAATTCCTGAATATAATTGGCGGATAGGTTGGAACAAATATGCGCATGATTCCACTGGGAATTTACTTCATATTAGAGTATTAACCATTAAAACATTGTTTTTTGGAATGCACACTTTCTGTTCTAGTCTTTTTAGTTTTGGAAATGATTTATAATAAATGTTGAAGTGCTTTTTATTTAAATATATGATTCATTTTGGAACTAACATTTACCAACTTCAAAGCAAATCAGAAATGCTAAAATTACCAACAATGCAACTTTGAAGTTGGGATTTGGATTCATCAGATGGTTAGACATAGTAGAACGTTTCCTCACAGAATAATTGTAGAATTATAATCTTATGTGCAACATTTCAAAGAATGATTTCTTTCATGGCATCAAGTATAAAACTTTGTATTCTTATTAATAGGAATGGCTTTCAAAAGGACATGGAGAATACCGAGAAATCCCCAGTGAGCGAGAATTTTTTCAAGAAGTGAAAGGGAGCAAAAATGTGGTCTGTCATTTTTATAGAGATACAACCTTGAGGTAATCTTTGCTAAAATCAGTTGTTGAAGAGATCTCAGAAAATTTGGAAACTCTTTTCCTAGTACTGACTGAGTTAGTGTATCTTTTTAGCAATTTAATCTCTTAAAGTGAATCAATGTTCATCTTATAACGTAGGCATGGAAAGAACCATTATTTCTCAATAAAAACATAAATCAGAGTCGGCTGAACTGCAACTGTCTGTTGTTATTGTTCCAGTTAAATATGATTAACACTATAGTGGTTATTCGGAAATAAATCTCATTGTTAAGTTGAAATTCCTTTCTGGTTAATGCATAGAATTGCCATATTTTTAAATTTAGGAGCCCTTTATGAAACTAGCTACAAGTTTCTAATCATAATTGTAACTGCATTCACAATATGGTATTTTGTTTAGCTGTTGTTTGTTGAATAACTATAATATATTGGTTCTCCATATCATGCCAAACCATAATCAAGGAAGTTGATAATAGTTTGTTGAAGATAAGAAACAATTCAGTGATTCTAAGGACAATTATCTGAAAGATTTATCTCAAAGTTCTGATGGCAATGATCTGAGATAACTTTCAGATCCAATTATTGCATTTTTCACAGTATCAGCTCCCAAAGGCAAAATTAAGGGAAGTTGTAAAATAAATTTTGGGTATGTGCTTGATATCTACCTGCTGATTTTAATATTTATTTATATCTGTATAAGGAACATTTTCCTGAAGGTAAGAGGTCTTAAGTAGCAGAATACTGTACCTAAAACAATAATGGACCTTGTTTCACTCGTTTTCAAACAGAATGACAACTTTCAGGGATGGTTTAATAAATTCCTTTGCTGAAAAGGGGGTTGGATTAGATTACATATAAGACCATTTTAACTTTGATTCTATGACTATATTATCATTGGCATGGGAAAATGACTAAAATAGCACTTGTGGTGTTTTTAGGTGGTGCAAAGCATTTGAAGGGGTCTTCCTGAAGTGCCCGTCTTGAAAATGTTAAAACAACCATATTCACTTGGTTCATTCAAAGGGCTTCCCAGGACATTTCTGCATTTATATGCATATATGTGGAGAAAACATTTCAGCTGTTGCTGCTGGTGAAGCAACTATGTATGCAGAAACATGAAAACACACTGCAATTGCTTTGCACAGCTTTACTTGAGCTAGAAAGCAAAAAGTGACTTCAGATTTCACTATTTAATGTGTTAAATGTTTTTATTTTTCCTCAGATGCTTAATATTAGATAAGCACTTAACAATACTTGCAAAAAAGCATATTGAGACTAAGTTTATCAAGTTAAATGCTGAAAAATCACCATTTCTTTGTGAGAGACTTCACATCAAGATAATTCCCACATTAGCACTAGTAAAAGATGGAAAAACTCAAGATTATGTGGTTGGATTTACTGATCTTGGCAACACAGATGAGTTCACCACAGAGACTTTAGAATGGAGATTGGGTTACTCAGATATCATCAACTACAGGTAAATAAAATGAATCTTACAACAGTAGCTGATACACTGTTATATAATACTCTTAATATAAAAATTATCTTCCTGACAAAGTAGTGAAATTGATATTAAATTAAATCATCATTTTTGAGGCTAATGGTTTCTGCTTTCCTGATTTATGGTTTTTTACTAATGTATCACAAATATTTTGTACATTTTATAAAATATATACGTTTTATATATTTTTATGTATGTGTAGTTCATATGTATATATCCAATACAAGATATGACAGAATACAGAGACCCTATACTATAGGCCAGCATTCAGATCTACATTCACTGAAGACTACAAGGGAGAAGACCCTTCATGCATAGATGTACCAGATAGCTTCCATTAGAGGAAATGGTCCCTAAGGTACCCTGGAGCCAAGATATATAAGTCAAAACCAATTATTTGAACTGCACTTGGCAGCCTATTGATAACCAATGCACCAACTGGAAAATATGTGTAATATTTTCATAGCAGCCATTCATAATCTGGATGTAGCTTTCGAATGGTTTCCAAAGGTAGCCTAGCAGTTTCTGGACAAAGCATCCTAGTTCAAATATGACCACAACTGTTTCACTAGCCTTAGCTAGGTAAGGCTAGTTCAGGTTCCCATCTGTTATTCCACTAGCAACTATCAAAATAACCCAAAATTTCAGACCAACTCCTTTTAGGAAGAGAGTCCTAAACTATTTGTCCAGAACTAATACTGGGACTATCTCAAATCACAATCATTCTGATTAAATGTCCAGTCACTTGAATATTCTGCTATGTTTCTTGCTCTCTTTCATTTTCTGGGAACAATCTTGAGTTTGAATGTCACTGGGTTAGCCACCAATCAAGTTCCTTTTTCAGTTTCAGTGTTCTTTCCATTCACGTTTTTTTTTCTCTGTTCAGTATCCTGTTCTTTTGCCTGCTATCTCCATTTTTCAACCATCAATCCAACCACATTCAACTTTTCCTCATCCACCTTGATTTTCAAATCAATCTCAGTTGTCAAACATTCTAATTACTATTACAAATTTCTAATATCCTTCCCTAATCTACTACAAGATAACAGCGATAACAGTCCCCAAACAAAAATGTAACTAGTTTCTAGGTGCCATCTTATAAGAAAAATGCAAGGGATAAGTATACTTTTGCTAATTAAATTTTGAAGTTCATTACCACAAGATATAAAGAGCCATGATGATGCAATGATTAGAATGCAGTTTTGCAGGCTAACTCTGCCAACAGCCAGCAGTTCAATCCTGACCGGCTCAAGATTGACTCAGCTTTCCATCCTTCCAAAGTCAGTAAAATGAGGACTCAGATTGTTGGGGGCAATATGCTGACTCTGTAAACCTCTTAGAGAGGGCTGCAAAGCAGTATGAAGCGGTATATAAATCTAAGTGCTATTGCTACTATTGCAATGCAGGTAATCCTCAACTTACAACAGTTCATTTAATGACCATTCAAAATTGTAGTGAAACTGAAAACAGTGACTTATGATCGTTTCCCACAGTTATGAACTTTGCAGCATCCCTATGATCATATGATTAAAATTCAGATGCTTGGCAACTGGTTCATATTTATGACCATTGTTGCATCCCAAGGTCATCTCCCAAGGTCATGTCCCAAGTCACCTTTTGCTACCTTCTGACAAACAAAGTCAATGGGGAAGCCAGATTCACTTAACAACCGGATTACTAACTTATCAACTGCAGTGATTCACTTAACAACTGAAGCAGGAAAGGTCATAAAACAGGGCAAAACTCATTTAACAGAAATCTTGAGTCAATTATGGTCCTAAGTCAAGGACTACCTGTATATTGTTGATTATCAGTTTGGCTGGCTTCAAAAAAGAGTTGGATCAATACATTGAAGTCATGGGGATCAAGTGTTGTTAACCTTGATAGCAGTGTGACTATCTCTTCACACTACCACTTAGGGCTGTAAAGCACTGTGAAGCGGTATATAAATCTAAGTGCTTTTGCTATTGCTAAGTGCTATCTCTGAAAGCCATCTGTTGAAACTAATGGGCTTCCTTGTACAGCTGGTTGGCCACTGTGTGGACCAATTGATTGTGAGCTAGGCAACCAATCCAGCCGGGCATTGCTTGTGTTTTTAATCACATAATTGTTAAAAATGTTTACTATAATCCTAAGAGGTTCATGAAGCAAAATAATGCATCCTTGTTTTGATGTAATGACAAAAGGGCAGGGGGAATTGGCTTCAGACAATTGTATTTCCAATTTGTGTTTTGCTCGATGTTTACATTATTAGTAATTTCTTCTTTTTTTAGTGGCAACTTAATGGAGCCGCCTTTCCAAAGCCAAAAGAAGTTTGGAACCTCTTTCACAAAATTGGATAAGAAAACAATCAGAGGAAAGAAATATGATTCAGATTCTGATGATGATTAGAATTCATGATACAAATATTTGTAAACCATTTTTCTTTTATGTTTGATACATTTTTAGGAATGTTTTATACAGTTGTTTGCTTTCAGAACATTTGCACATCACACTCATTTTCTAACAGTTTTATAGAGCTCATGAAAGGAAATCTTCCTCTTAGAAAATAATTTCTTCATAAAGAAATTTGAACCCTTTTGAACTATGTAATATGAGAGGTGACTTTCAATATTTTATTAATTTAACAATAGCTCTCTTAACTTGCATCTTAAAATTTATACCATTTATCATTAAGGTATTAATGAAGGACTTCTGTCAAGAATTGTTATTTAAACTATTCTTGAAGTAGTGCATTAATAAAAGTCATTCTAATAATACCATGAGTGTGACTTTGCGTACTCTTAACTTCATTGCACTACATATTATAAAATTCCTGTAGTTTTTCTTTAAGTCTGCCAGCTGTGTACACTGCATGTTAGAGCTGAATTAGCAATAAATATTACATGACAAATATACTGAACTAAAATTCCAAGGCTTGAAGGACAGCTTATATTTTTTAAAACAAAGGAAAAACAGGAAAAATTGAAATTTTTAAACTGATACAAATACAATTTAATACAATATCTTGCACTGTTGTTCTTCAGTAATATATATATTTCCTGGTTCATCTTTTTGAAATATTAACAATCCTGTAGGTAAATATTAATAGCCTGGTAGGTAAAAGAATATTTTCCTATATATCACATGTAAATGTCCTCCACCTGCAAATTATTACATTTTATCTCATCTTAGAAGAAAAATTAAATCTCACAGGAACTTAAAAAGCACAGACTAAAGCAAGTATGGGAACTTTCCATTCAATTGGCAGCCAATCAAATAACAGTCACTGTTGGGCACAAGATTACTGCAACTATCTTCCCAAGAGGAAAGAAAATGAGATTTAAGTTTCTTTATATTTTCTTCTATGAAAGATAAAGACATTTTGTAGGTGAGGGGCAAATGGAGGTAATATACAAGCCACAAGTAAAATCATGCCACAGTTTTGGAATCACATTTAAGCTTTAGTTTGCTTTCTTCAAATGTTGGATGGAAACCATGGATTTCTCAAATCACAGAAATAAAGCATAAGTTCATGAGGATAGCCACAGGGCAGGGATACAGTAGGAGAGAAATAACTAAAACATGGCTTTCAGCTAGGAAGACAGGTTTGAATGTGAGTCACCTGGATGGGTATAGTTTATAGTAAGGGCATCTGACTCTCATTTTATAACATAGTTTCCAGAATAGTTATAAAACTTAACTGGCTTAAAAGGTTGATATTAATCCTTAATAATGTTGGTTTTGTAGTGTTCAATTACATTACATTAAAATAGTACTCCAAGTACTATAATCTTAAAATGTTTTATGCCTCCTTAGAAATTACTTCATTTTTCTCAATTTGCTCTTTTTATAATTATGGATGAGGCTTATTACAACAAAAAAGTAAAAGAGGCATGGCTTGGAATATTAACCTGGTAGGTTAAATACATCTATTGCCATTTGCCATTTGGAAAAGGAATGATCTGGTCCTGTCCAGGGACAGTGCTTGCTTCTCTGGAGATGTGGATTCTACAGTAGTCAATATAGCACAATCTAATAATTGACATGTCTTCCACATTTTGCTTTTTGCTAATCTTTTAACTTGCAAGTATCTTATCTGTAAAAATGCCCCTTCCACAATATCCGTAGTTAAGAACTTTGCAGAGTTAGATTTCGTCTATAGTCTTAAGTACCCTGTACACTGCTTCTGATACCATTGCATGATTATTTATCTAGAATTAAGAAGAAAGCTCCTGGATATTAGGCAGTAGTGCTTCCCTGCATTTTAAATTTTGTTTCAATAGATTATTGATTCAAGAAAAGTAAAATCTCTTTCTTTGATATGATACTCTGGCTTTTCTGAGTGCACATAAAAGCCGACTCGTCACCAAATCAAATGAATTTTCAAGGAGGTAATAGGAAGGAGCTATCTTGAGAAATACTACAAACCTTTGTACAGAATTTCTGGCTCTTGTTGCACCCATTTTTTTATTTTAACAAATATTTTGCCTGTAATTCAAAATTTACAGTCATTAAGATGATGGCTAGGCCTTTAATGATATACTTTAAAACCATTTTTTGTTTCATAACCATATTTGGATATGTTTACTGTCATCCAATTTCTTTGTGTTTAATTATTTGATAATTCATTGAAAGGGTTTAAATAAAAATAAGACTTTCTATATCAAATAATTGTACATGCACCTATATTGGCTTTTTATATAATTTCCATTTAAAGTGCAGTTCTTTTTCCTATAATTTTTCAAGCAACAATATTATTTCCACAAAAGGAGGGAAGGTATGGGAAACTAAGAGACCCTTCTTAGTTTTCCAAAGAGTAAAAGGAAAGAAAGGGAGAAATACTTTTAGTTTTACAAGATTTTGTTAATGCTACCTCAAAAGGCTAATACAGCCCTTCCGATGCTGAGAAATTACTGGTGTTAATTGCCAGCTGGTGATTTTTAGTAGGAGAAGAAATAAACCAGAATAATCCACCAATTGCCCTCCTTAACTGTCCTGCATTAAAACTACCAGCAAAGCACTACTCCCTGGTAGAGTAGAACAATGCAAAGCATACCATAAATTTCATCCCATTAAAACAACAACAACCCATCAGCCATTTTGCTGCCAGGCTTTCCAGGAAAAGGAAGGAGAGCTAGACCAGGCCTGTCTATGTAATTTCCTGGTAACAAACTGCTTAAAGGACATAGCCCTCACATGAAACAGCAGGGAATTTTACTTCGATTATCTACTCAGGCAGAAGTTCACTCAAGCTAGGGGTAACGAGTGAAATCTTATCCAGGTAGTCCTTGACTTAAAACTTTTTTTTATTAGTTTTATTCGTTTATAACATAAAATGTGAAAATACAAAAGCAAATAGTAGGGGACAACAGTAGAAAAAGGGAAATCAAAAAAGGTGTGAAGAAAGGGAGGGGAAGAAACAAAAGGCATTGATTTCTGACTCTGTTGCGGTAAAATCAGACATTAAAATCAAACATCAACTTTTTACATTTCTATAGTAGTATGCACTAGCCATTTCTGTATTGGCAAATCAGTCTAATAATCGGTAAAACCCAAAATCATAGTATCATTTTTTTCCCACCTCAAGCACAAAGTCCAGAAGCGGTTTCCAAGTAGAAACAAAAGTACTTATGTTCTTTATCAGCACAAGTCAATTTGGCCATCTCTGCTAATTCCATCAGCTTTAACCATTTGTCCATGGTAGAAATCAAGGCATCCTTCCACTTTTGTGCATAGAGCAATCTTGCTGCCGTCACCATATATAAAAACAGGTCCAATTTGTTTCCAGTTCTCTTTCCATTAGGCCCAGAAGGAAAGTTTCTGGTTTGATCTTTATGTTCACTTCAAGAATTTTCTGCATTAATATATGAATCCTACTCCAATATTTCTTTGCCTTATCACATCTCCACCATAAATGATAAAAAGTCCCTTCTTTACATTTACAACATTCATTTGAAATACCTTTATACATTGTATATACCGGTAACTTATCTGGTGTTAAATACCAGTGATACATCATTTTGTAAAAGCTTTCTTTTAGGTTATAATTTAATGTGAATTTTAAGCCTTTTATCCAAATATTCTCCCATTGTTCAAACATCACATTATACCCAAATTCCTTGTCCGCTGGATCATACAGTGTTTTATATGTTCACTTTCCAAATTCAATTTTAATAACATTGTATAGACCTTGGCAATTATATGATCATCATTACCACATAGTAGGATTTCCAATTCATTTTTTAGCTAGCTCAAAACCATAGCCTTTTTTGTCTAGTTTAAATCTTTCCTTTAGTCTGTGGGAAGAATCCAGAGAAAGAAATATTTTGGGAAATATTAAAAAGGCAGAATATATTTCCCCAAAGGATTTTAAAGGCAGAAACCAACCCTCCCCCCCCCCCAAGTCTCTCTGCCCAAACAGAAACCAGGTCTGCAGAAATGCAGATGTGATAATCTTGTCAGAAAGATTGGAGCCAGGAAGATTGGAGCTGATGGGATTAGAAAGACAAAGATCCCTAGAATCAACAATCCCTCACACCAAAAAAATCCAACAAAGGAGATAGTCATCAGCCACAACCCCAGGGAAGCAGGATATGACCTTTGGGATTAACTCACCACCATCAGAATACCAGAAAGGCACACTCAGACTCAGGTCAAAGTTCATGTCACAGGAACAACTCCAAACAAAAGCTCAAGAAGGTATAAAAACCCACCATTCTCTACTACATGTGGTCAACTTTCCCAGAGTCACCTTTCTGTCTGGCTCTGCTCTTCAATAAACTACAACCTTTTTTCTAAAGCAGTCTCCATTTTGTTTATCCCCCGCTTGGACTGGACCCTGATGAAAATTTTTCTTTCAACAAGTCCTTGACTTAAAACTGGTTGCTTGGTAACCAAAGTTATATTGGACCTCCCCAAAAGCTCTTTACAACCCACTTTTGAAGTTACAGCTGTTGCAGTGCTCCATACGAACAAAATTTGGGCACTTGCAGTCTGCTGGACTGCATGGACTCTGCAGTGGGGCACCCCACCTATCTCCCCTCCATCCTGCCCCATTGGGTTGGTGCAGGCGTTGGGCCTGCTTCCTATCCTGCTGGGTCCCACACCCTCACTCCCATCACCTATTGGTCACTTCCTTTACTGTAGATCTCTCTGAGAGCAGGCCACTCTGTCCTCAGCCTCCCTGCAGGCCAGTGGGTAGGAAAGTAGGCCCAAGGCCTGTGGGGATCCTGAGGGATGGGAAGCAGACCACAGTGTGCCTCAAGGAATAAGGGAAGTCTTTGGAGGCCTGGGGCAGGTCATGTGTGAGGTGGGGAGGTATTGCAGTGCAGGCATCAAGGAGAATGTGTGAGAATTGTTAAGCAATGCAATTATGTGGAAGCTTCACTTAAAACTGTCAAAACTTGCAATCATAATGGGTAGGCTCCATTATGGTCATAGACTGAGGAATACCTGTAGTACACCTTAATCTGACAGTGCTTTTGCTGCCTCAAGAAGTGGAAGGAAATAAATCCAGAACTTGTGAATGCTCCAACACTGGAAGTTTTTAAGAAGAGACTGGACAACCATTTGTCTGAAATGGTATAGGGTTTCCTGCCTGAGCAGGGGGTTGGACGAGAAGACTTCCAAGGTCTCTTCCAACTCTATTATTATTATTATTATTATTATTATTATTATTATTATTATTATTATTATTATTATTATTATTATTATTATTATTATTATTATATACAGCTGTAAAAAACTATAAGAATTGTTGAGGACGAGTGAAAATTATTGGCTCACCTCAAGATGCTATGGCAGTGATGGCGAACCTTTTAGAGACAGAGTGCCCAAACCACAACCCAAAACCCACTTATTTATTGCAAAGTGCCAGGGCCGCATCAGCATTGTGGTGCCCTTGGGGGGGCATGGGGCCGTGGCCCACTGGGTGGGCATGGCTGCAGTTGTCATGGCAGACTGGGTGGGCGTGGCTGAGGTGGGCATGGCCACCTCGATGTTGCTCATGCGGGGGCGATGCCTACGGGGGCCAGGCAGGGTTGGGGAAGATCCAGGGGGTCTCTGGCGGGTGGGGCGGTGGGCAGGAGGCCCAGCATAGATGGGAGGAGGCACGCAATCCTAGCTGGGACTGGGGGGCCATGGCGCCGATGGGGATCTGGCTTTCCCTGCTCAGAGTGGCCTTTGGGTGTGGGCGTGCTCTACCACCTCTACTTGACTTTCTAGTTGGCCGCTTTGCCTCCTTTGTGCTGGGTGGGGCTGCTGTTCTGGGCGGCAGCAGCGGCCTAATGAACCTGCGCGAGCTGATGGCAGCAGCGGCGCGCGTGCCCACAGAAAGGGCTCTGAGTGCCGCCTCTGGCACGTGTGCCATAGGTTCGCCACCACTGTGCTATGGAAACAAATTCAGTTTGAAGTCTGGAGAAATCCTTAAAACAATCATTATATAATAAGTGGTTTAAAGACATAAGCCTGACTTCCAGACAAACTTTCCAATAAAATACTATCTATTTTCAGAGTAATTTTCAAAATAATTAAATATTCATAAGTCCCATTAACAAAAAATCTATGCAACTAAAAATGTACAATGAACATGATTGATGTTATCCCAAGAAATCCAGTCAGGTATGTGACAATCCCCTTTGATTTGGTACTTTCCTGAAATATAATTATGTTATTTCCCAAGTGTTGCAACTAACATCCTGTTTGATCAACTAACAGGATGTTGAAACCACATGCCCTTCTTTTCTTTGTTCAACACAGAATCGAAAGTGACTATAGAGATCAGAGAATCATGGAAGGTATTTATTATAAAATATGTAACTGTTGGTAGGCAGTGGTCAGGGTGAGGGTTACAAAAGAGCTAGTCATTTGTGTGCTAAATGTTGCGGTCTAATTTTGCCAAAAGTATTTATAAAGTTGTGTGCTTTAATAGCTAATCTTGGGCCTAGTAGAGCACTAGTATTTTTGCTTCTTTCTTTTAAGGTCCCCCCACCCCCTTCTTCTTAATTTAGACTGAGTGCAGTGTTATGATTCCTAGCAATCCAAGTAACAGGGAGCAGTAGCATAAAGTGAATCTCCCTTACTGGGTTGGAAAATGGTTCAGTTCATGGAAAAGGATATTTTTTACAGCTTTCAGTACTCCAACATCCATGCTCTCCCTGTCAAGAAGGTGAAATTAAGTCATGCTGAATCCCATCAGGCTTCAATCTGCAGGATCCAACCTTATCTCCAGGTTTTCTGATAATTCCCCAAATTAGTAGAAAAACTATACTGGCTATGAAGCTGGCCTAATTCATGTCCATTCCACTGAATTAATGGGCTAGACAGAACAAGTCGAATGAAGATATTCCTATTTTAATTTTCCTTTCTAAACATAAAGTACAATTATTTATATGTATAATATGGGCTATTTTGCTGATCAGCTTAGTGACGGAGGTAGCATTATAGTAATACATCTTTTCAGAAGCATTCTTCTAAACGACTGGTGTATGCTTATAGTTGAAACTAGAGAACCTGTGATGCTTTAGATCATTGTTTCAGAATTATTTCTTTACCAGAAGTCTCAGTGTCTTCCCCAATGGCAGAGCTTCTAATGTATTTGAAAAGCTTTTAGAAATTCAGGGAGATATTCGGAGAGGTTTCTCCTTTGAAAGTACTCCATGTTGAACTGTATAGTCAAAGTTAGGTCATATATCCTGTAAGTTAGCCCATTTGAGATACCTTGATTCAAAAAAAATTGTTTTATGCTGCCTCATTTCATCCAGTTAAAGGTTACAGACACAAGAGTTATAATAGAATATATACCGTACTTCTTATTTAGATCAGGACATTATGATGATGATTATTGCCAGCTTCAGATAACGCAAAACAGAATTTCTTTGCAATAGATTGCCTAATACATTTTGTGACCAGACAGTAATTTAATGCCTCTATAACAGCTCATTCTTCTTATTACGGTAACATAATGGATGTGGATACCACTGGAGCTTCTCTTGAAACTGGAAAACAAGAAGGCTTGGATTTTGGGGGTAAGATTAACTATAATCTATGTTGGAATATATGTATAATGTTGTCAACATTGATGTGATGTAAATGTTTATTCTCTTTTCTGTTCAATGTGTAACTAACTGTGCTTAAGTCTGTATGTTCCTTTTCTTCTTCTTTGAAAAAAAAGATGTTCATTGCAACTATGCAAATTGCTTAAACACAGTGATTAATTTGCTTTATAACAATATATATAATTGCACAATTATATTCCTACAGCAATAGACCTATATTCTTAAACAAGTAAGGGTTTCTGTCTCCTCTTAAGAATGAGAATTGAGAGGCCTTTTCTTTGGCATTTACTGTTACATCTTCACTGTGCTTCATTCTGTAGTCCTTGCTATGATTTCTGAACATTACTTCTGCTTGCTTGCTTTTATCCTCTTGCTTTTATTCTTTTCTTTGTGTACCTTCAAGTCTAAATCCCTACAGTTTTCTTGGCAAGAATTTGAAAGTGGTTTGTCTTGCCTTCTTTCCAGTGGTGGGATTCAAATTCCTGAATAACCAGTTCTGTGCGTGGATACTGCTTCTGGAAGTCTGTTCTGGGTCTGGGCCTCCGAGGCCCAGAACGGACTTCTGGAAGTGGTGTCCACGCACTTCCAGTGAGCCATTCTGGGCCTGGGAGGCCTCCCCATCTCAGAACGGACTTCTGGAAGCGGGCGAAAAAGGGCTAGGGCTTTAGCCGGTTCTCCAAAGTCAGCAAAAAATTAGCTACCGGTTCTGCAGAACTGGTGCGAACCAGCTAAATCCCACCACTGCTTCTTTCTAAGGCTAAGAGTCGCTCAAGGTCACCCAGCAGACTTGATGTCTAAGGCAGGACTAGAATTTATGGTCTTCCAGTTTCTAGCCTAACCATTACACTAAATTGGCCATGGTGTCCTTGATGTATAGGCTTGGTTGTTTCATTACCCAACTAGATAACACTATCAGTTCTAGGTTTTCTTTGATGCTCATCTAGGTAGCAGCATTTACTTTAATTTCAAAAACAGCTTCTAATGTAGTTAATTCAGATGCTAGAATGGAATGTTGCTGGAAATGTGGATTCGATTGAGAAAGTGAAAATATTTTTTTTTTTTAAGAAAGCAATGGCTATGTCCATGAAGCACTTTAGTTTTCCAGAAACGAGAATTTTTAACAAAGTTACTGATAAACTCATCAATAGTAGCCGTCAGTGACACATTGACCATTATAATGGAGATGGGTTTCCTATTTGATCAAATCCTTAAACATACTGTAACAGCGAAAAGATAGCTGTTCTGTTTAGTTTAATTCCAATTGTTATTTTTAATCAGAAGCACATTTCTCATGTTTGTTTGTTTTCTCTCTGCAAGGGGTTGAAGCTTCAAAAATAATTGCAAGGAGAGATCTAAACAATTTAGAGAAATATAAAATGAAGATTAAGCGTGTCAGTGAAAAAACAAATATTGATGCTGCTGTGATTGCTGCTATTATGTCTCGAGAATCACATGCTGGAACTATCCTAGAAGATGGTTGGGGTGACCATGGAAATGGATTTGGATTAATGCAGGTAAAGACTTTTGTTATAAATTAAGAAACTCACAGTGCCCAATGTTCAACAACTCTAAGCAAAACTATCCTGGAGTAATTATAAGATGATTATAATTGTCCCCAAGCAAAATATAGCCTTGTATAATGGAAGGTTTTTCCATTTCTCCCTACATACACTCTTTGCCCCCTCTCTTTATAGTATCTTTCCCGTATTCTGACTGTACATCGCTTTTGGTAACTGATCTGTATTTTTTAATTATTAGCTTGTAAAGTAATTAAACTATCCTGACATAATATAATCATAGCAATAATTATTACAGAATAATCAAAAGCAATTTCATCATTTTTCAGGTGGATAAAAGATATCATAAACTAGTTGGCACCTGGGACAGTGAGGAACACATTAATCATGCTACTCTCATTCTCTGTAGCATGATAGACGAGATTAAAAAAAAAAATCCATTATGGACAAACGAACAGCAGCTCAAAGGTATGAAACATCATTCTACTAAAATCTACATAGAATCTTTTTTATGTCCAGATCCTTCACATCATTTTTCCATGTGACTCAGTATACCATGTGATAATGGTTCTCTAGTTTGGAGAAGAAAATGGAAAATCTCAGCCAAAGATGAGATCTTTAGAAGGGAAATATTTGCATTCATTTATGATATAATAGTTTTTGTTTCCAACCAATCCTTTTTTATTATTTTATTATTGCCCAACCAGTTGCAGTTTCCCAGCAGTCATTTGTAGGGCAGGTTAATTGCCAAACATCTGAAGTTTCATCACATGACTATAGAAGTACTGCAGCAACTATAACTCTTGAGTACAGGTCATATGTCCCTTCATTTAGTATCATCGTAACTTTGAACGGTCCCTGAATAAATAGTCATAAGTCAAGGACTACCTGTATAAAAGCAGAATGTTAGAAATGTTATGTTTCATGATACGTTAATTGCAAAAGATATTATTTCCCAACTTCTAGTATATTTAAATAAAACCTCTGCTTAACTTTCTGATAAGAATAGAAATTATGTATTGTTAGAAGCATCCTTTAAAAAAACTTTAAAGGAGTAATCTTATGAGTATATAAATTGAAAAAGCCCTTCAAAAGCATGTTTGTAGACTATCGCAGGCAAAATTATTCCAAAACTTTTACTTACTTCTACTAAGTAGAAAGAAAAAAATCTTTTGTTCTTAATACCGTGGTTTATCTCTAATCAACTATTTAACTTATTTTGTATCAGGAGTATGGTTAATCCAATCTAGATTCAATTTACAATTTGTCTTAGCACTTGAAGAATGCCTGCATTATGTTCTTAATGTAACTTTTATTTGTCCATTCACTTTTTAAATGATAGGTGGAATTTCAGCATACAATGCAGGACCTAAAAATGTCCAAAGCTATGAGCGAATGGACGTAGGCACTACAAAGAATGACTATGCCAATGACGTTGTTGCAAGAGCCAAGTTTTACAAAACAAATGGATATTAAAAATCTAGAACAAAGATGCTGTCATTTCATCCTTATCCCATTTTTTATGTAAAATTAGCAATATCTATTTGCTAAATTCTACAAAAATAAAGTTGTGCCAACTTCTGCAGAAAATAAAGCAATATTGCTATTTTATGGTTGCAATCACATTTCGTACAAACAGGCTTTTATTCCCATTATGAGACTTTCTTCTTTCCCACTCTTTGTTCCACCACACTATTATATCCTTTTAACTTTAGTCTATGGAGGAAAACCAACAGGACTCATCTACACTACAGCATCTAGTGTAAGTAAGGTGATTCATCCTTAGTGGTGAACTGGGGAAAGATGTGAAAATATTTTCAATCACGCGGTTAGAACAGCATAAAACTGCACAATGAATGTATAAAAGAATGTGACAACCAATGGAATAAGCCAAAGGCTCCAAAGAAAAACACTTATGTCATCTGTGGAGGCCTACTTGTGCATAGGATTTTATATTCCCACAGGCTCTAAGCCAAGCTGGGAAACCTGAAAGGCCTAGTTTTGAAGGATTGGGCATTAACCGAAATCCAAGGGAATACTGCTTTTTGTAGACAGTCAAAATGGACTTCTCCATAGAGTCACTATTAGCTATAAGCTAGCTGCAACTTGTCTAATGTTGCTCCTCCTTTTGGAGTCCAACTAAATTGCATGTACAAACTGGCCTGAATTCCGTGAACTCATAACATTACACTGGGAATATAATGAAAGTTCCTGAAAGTAAGTTAGCATCACAAACATACTATTAGCTTGTTGAAGTGAATTGCTCAGATCATCTTGGGTTGGAAAAAAAAATCAGACAGAAATCCAAAGCAAATGTTTTAGTAATGGGTAATTTCCATTATCTACATAGACTGGGTAAATGTATATTCAACACATAACAGTTTTCCCTGATGTGATCAATCAATCAATTATTACTGATTGATTCATAGAACTAACACATGAGGGGACAAAAAAATTAATTCAAAGTAGTACATTAGATCTAGAAAGAGACTTAAAATTTGACTAATGAATTAGAAATATGCTACATTATTTCTGGACTACTTCGTTCTGTATGTACTGTGAAACAAACAAGTGCAGACCTGAAAATATGTTCTAAATAGACCTTCATTCATGCTTTAATTTTAACACTTTAAAAGCTGTTAAGTATGGATTTCCTGGCAGAGAAACAGTATATAAATTGTCCAGGAAGCAATCACATTCATATTTCCCATAAAACTAAAAAAGTCTACAAAATTATGTTAATTTAAAGAAAGGTAATATGAATGTCAGGAGAATCAGATCTCTTTAAACATATGAGGATTTTCCAAACAAAACAGTTCAGCTGAAATGCTGACGAACCAGAAATGATATAAGTAAAATTTGGTACATGCCAGGGTACAAGAACAAGATCACCATTCATATACAGTATTTAAGATGACTTCTGTCTGAAAATGGAAAAGTTCCCCAAATGAAAGGGGGAAAAATATAAATACTTGCAAGTGAATTGCTCACATAAAACAAGATACAGAAATACATCTGCCTGAACTCCAGTAGGAGCAAATCTGGCTGCAGGCTGCCTCCTGAAAAGTCAGTTACAAAAGGAAGATCCTCAAACAATCAAAATAGAAATACTAAAAAAAAAATAGAGGTAAGATTACTGCAAAGAATTCATAGTTATTTTTGAAAAAAAATATGAAAATGATGGACCAATCATGTGGCCTATTTATAATTAACTGACCATTGACTGTATCTGCCTGATGATGACAATCAATTTATTGAGAAATGTTGCATGTTTGTATGTTATTCACAATTACATACCTTATAAATCAACTTTTATATGACTAACAATGGCCATGAAACAGATTCAAATTAATTTAATCAATAGTGGTAAGAAAATAGGGGCACTCAGGCAGCACACAGGTTATGTAGAAAATAAACACAGAGTTAGTCATAAAGGACTCAAATGTCTATACACCAACGTATAGAGCATGAGCAACAAACAGGGTGAATTAGAAATTCAGATAAATGAGGGCAGATAGGATATTGTTACCATTACGGAAACTTGGTGGGATGAGACCCATAAATGGAACACACAGCTAGAGGGATTTAAATTATTTAAAAGAAACAGACCAAATAAAAGAGGAGGTGGAGTTGCTTTCTATATAAGAAATAACTACATCTCTACAGAAATAGAGCACAACAATGATGAAAACTATCTTGAATGCATTTGGGTCAATATAAAAGGGGGGAAAATGACATTGCCATAGGTGTATACTATAGGCCACCCAACCAACCAGAGGTAATAGATGAACTTTTTGCTAGTCAGTTAACTAAGGTATGTAGGAAGCACATCACAATAGTAATGGGGGACTTTAACTACCCTGACATCAACTGGGACACAAACTCTGCACCAAGTGGAAGATCAAACAGGTTCCTGGCAAACCTAGCAGACAACTTTGTATCCCAAAAAGTAGAGAAGGGAACTAGGGGATCAGTCATATTGGACTTAATTCTCATTAACAGAGATGAAATTATAGAAGATGTTGAAACCACAGGAATCTCGTGGGGGGAGTGACCATGCAATATTGGAATTCAACATTATGCAAGCACAAGCAATAGAACACAGTCAAACTAGAGTCTTGGACTTTAAGAGAGCTAATTTCAATAAACTTAGAGAGCTTGGGAAGGATTCAATGGATGAGAATCCTCAAGGGGAAAACAACTCAAGAAGCTTGGGAAATTTTGAAAAGTGAGATAATAAAAGCCTAGTTTAGCACAATACCAATGAAGAAGAAAAATAACAGCTCTCAAAAGAAACCAGCATGGCTGCATAAAGAACTCTCTGATAAATTGAAAGACAAAAAGGACAAGTATAAAAAGTGGAAAGAGGGGCACATAACTAAGGCAGAATATCAGCAAATAGCCTGAGCCTGCAAAGATGGAGGTAGGAAAGCTAAGCTCAAAAGAACTAAGGCTTGCGACAAAAGTAAAAAATAACAAAAAAGCTTCTTTCAACATGTAAAAAGCAAGAAAAAAGTTAAGAAAATGATTGGTCCACTAGTGGGAGAAAGTGGCAAGAAGGTGACAAGCAACAGAGAGAAAGCAGAACTACTCAACTTGGTTTTTGCATCCGTATTTACACAAAGGGAAAAAACAGTCCAACCTATCAAAAACAGTACCATTAAAAAACAGATTAGAAACACAAGTTAAGATAGGCAAGAAAATGGTAAGTGATCACCTGTCCACCTTAGATGAGTTCAAATCACCAAGACCAGATGAACTACATACACCCCAAGGTTCTGAAGGAACTGGCAGATGTGATCTCAGAACCACTGAACTATATCTTTCAAAGATCCTGGAGCACTGGGGAACTACCAGAGGACTGGAAAAGGGCTGATGTAGTTCCCATCTTCAAAAAAGGAAAAAAAATGGATTCAGGAAACTACAGACCTATCAGCCTGACCTCAATACCTGGGAAGATCTTGGAAAAGATAATCAAGCAACGAATCAGCAAACACTTAGAGGCAAACAAAGTCATTACCAAAAGCCAACAGGGGTTTGTCAAAAACGGATCATGCCAGACAAATCTTATTGCATTCTTTGACCAGGTGACAAAATTAGTGGACCAGAGGAATGCTGTGGATATAATTTACTTGGACTTCAGATGGTTTCGTACCTGGCTGATTGGCCGTACTCAGCGTGTGGTCCTCAATGGAACTGCATCTACATGGAGTGTGTAGTGGAATGCCCCAGGGCTCTGTTCTGGGCCCAGTGCTCTTCAACATCTTCATCAACAATTTGGATGAGGGGATAGATGGGGAACTCATAAAATTTGCAGACAACACTAAGCTGGCAGGAATAGCCAACACTCAGAAGATAGGCTTAAGATACAGAAGCATCTTGACAGACTTGAACATTGGGCGCTATCTAACAAAATGAAATTCAATGGTGAAAAAAGTAAGGTTCTACATTTAGGCAAGAAAAATCAAATGCACAGGTATAGTATAGGTCAGTGATGGCGAACCTTTTAGAGACTGAGTGCCCCAAAACTGCCCCCACTCCACCATGTCCCGCCCACTCTGCCCAACCTGCTCCACCCCCACCTGCCCGCAGGGCCACTTACCGCCTCCACGACCCGCCGATCGCCCAGGCGGCCCAGAGCACCATGGTGGCCATGCCCTCCCCCCGCACCCTGCAGCATCATCTGTGTGCCCACAGAGAGGGCTCCGAGTGCCGCCTCTGGCATGCGTGCCATAGGTTCGCCACCACTGGTATAGGTGGTACCTTGCTCAATAGGAGCAACTGGGAGAGGGATCTTGGATCTTACATATGAGTCAGCAGTGTGCTGCAGCTGCCAAAAAAGCCAACACAGTGCTAAGCTGCATTAATAGAGGGATAGAATCAAGAGCAAGTGAAGTGTTAATACCACTTTACAATGCCTTGGTAAGGCCACTTGGAATACTGCATCCAGGTTTGGTCACCACGATGTAAAAAAGATGTTGAGACTCTAGAAAGAGTACAGAGAAGAGCAACAAAGATGATCAGGGGACTGGAGGCTAAAACGTATAAGGAACGGTTGCTGGAATTGGGTATGTCTAGTCTAATGAAGAGAAGGACGAGGGGGTGACATGATAGCAGTGTTCCAATATCTCAGGGCTGCCACAAAGAGGAGGGAGTCAAGCTATTCTCCAAGGCACCTGAAGGTAGGACAAGAAGCAACAGATGGAAACTAACCAAAGAGAGAAGCAACCTAGAACCAAGGAGAAATTTTCTGACAGTTAGAACAATTAATCAGTGGAACAATCTGCCTCCAGAAGCTGTGAATGCTCCAACATTGGAAGTTTTTAAGAAGAGACTGGACAGCCATTTGTCTGAAGTGGTGAGCAGGGGGTTGGACTGGATGACCTATTATTATAGTCACAGAAATTCAATTTTTATTAATAGTTGCAGCCTTCTGTAAACTTTGTGGATACCAAAATATATCTCAAACGCTGTTGAAGTGTATTTGCTATTATTTATACTGTCACATTTACAATAGCCAAACAGTTTAAGTAGAAATTATGTCCAAATACCAGAAAAATGTTTTTATCTTCTTAGTAATAATGCTATCTAATTTTATGAGAAGGCAGTTAAGTCTAGAGAAATTGTTCTAAATGAACATACATATTATGCCCCCAAATGTCAATTACAGTAATGCAATTCCCAACTTAATATAACATTTATTATAGAAAGTATTAATACATTATTATGAAGAATCAGATGTGTTCTTTTCCACTTCTTTTAGGTGGCGACAAACTATCAGTTCACCTGTGACCTTGTTAAGATAGGTATCAGGTATTTCATCTTCAGTTGGAATTCCATAAGGCAGTTTTAATGGTTTTATTCTATAGTCAAAAAGAGAAGGGGATAACAACCTATTAGTGTTTTTACACGAAAGCAATTTCAAAATATTGCTGATGAGAAGAATTACCAACCTTATTAGGTGTTTAATGACTTTCAGTTTTGCATTCACAGAAGGGATGTTTTTAAGCACCACTGGATCAAATCTCTGTAGGTGATACAAAGCTCATCAGACATGCGTCACAGAAGTGAATTTGTGAGAACAGCTATTGTAATAAAGTTTGATTAAATTTTAATAAATATTAAATCACTGCAGACACTAATATTAAGCAACATTAAAACAAATATTATATCTTAAAATTGATTTTGCTAGTTTAGTATTAAAGGTAGTTTTCCTTTAGTGGCCACCATTGGGATCAACAACTAAGAGAAGTGGTTGCTAACAAAAACTGTTAGTGTGATTATGATCTTACTTCAGCTTTCCTTTGTTTTATAGACCTGCAATGGCTGTAAACGCAAGGACTAGTTATACTTTTTCATCACCAACTTAATTTGAATAATTATTATTACACAGCAGTCATTAAACAAGAACTGCCTGTAAAGCTAACATTTGTTTTAGCATTTAAGGACTTAACTATAAATATAATTGCTTACAGATGCAGACTCCTTAAGCATTCTTGATTTCTGTACTAATTCAGCAGTGGAGAAGAACATGTGAAGAGGCGAATTGTTAAGAGGTCTGATATTAGCTGCTGTGTCAGATCTCACCATCCTATCTGCCACTGTGCAACCCCCAGGTGACTGCTCCCAATCTCATGTAGTCCTCAGAAGCAAAATACTGTCCTGACTCTTACAATCCATTTCTTAACTGTTTTATATGCTAGAGAAGTGCGTCTCAATTATAGTACACATCCCACTGAAGAGAAGGCTAAGCAAGAACTTAAATTTTTCTTTAATGATGAACATAAGATAATACCTAAAAAATGAATGCCCCTACAGATTTAGTCTTATTTATTATTAAATCTGTATATCACACAACTCTTTGCTTTGATTGTGATATGACCAGACTCCTAAAGACAAGAGGAATGAAAACCTATGTTATGCCTGTCATTTGTAATCATTGTGACACAAGAATAAAGCTTCTTCTCAGAAATCACCTGTATAGAATACTTTTTGTTCACTCTCTTCCCCCATCAGTTATAAAAACAAAAGCACTTCAATTCTACTTAGTTTCATGTTACACTTAATTCAGTAACCAGGCAGCAACTTCTTTTTTAAACTTGTGAAGACTGACTTGCATAGTTTAAGAAAATACATTTCTGACATGCCATTACTGCATTTTAAAATGGTAAGACCCTGAAGATATTGACAGTTCTAACACTGAGATCAAAATGCTTCCATGAAAGCAAAAGTAAAGATCTGAAGTGGTTGTGCAAGGACATCTTAAAACCTGAAATAGAAGGAAGCATCAAACCCCCTCTTTTTGCTCCTAAATTAAGAGCAATAGCCTTGATGTTCTTTTCTTTTATTATTTCTATGAATAGCTATTTCTTATTGCAGCAGATTTCCAGATCCAAGCTGCAAAATTCAGACTACTGGATGGCACTACAGAATTAATTTGTCCTCTAATGGCATCTGATCCTTGTATACCATATCTGGTAGCCCTAGAGATACCAATGGTACTGCATTCTATGTTCAACATGTTTCATTCTGAGAAATGACACTTAGAGAGAAGCACTTATCCCTAGAGATTGTTTGGATATTTTCTGCTGTGAAAGAGAGGAATGGTAGGCAGAAATCCTCACAGCAACCATTTGGCAAGGACAGAATGTTGTGATTGGCAGGATATAATCAACCCCAATTAATAATGCTATTTGCAGATGGATTTAATTTTAGTATAATTTACTGTTCTTTCCAAACTGCTACCTGGGATGAAAATCACTCAGCCTGATAACAAAATTTGCCTTGAACACCTCAAAATAACAATTTACTTAGAAGTAGCCAATGTTGAGCACAGTGGGTGCTAACACGTAATCAGGGCCTGAAAGCTACGCAAGGTTGGATTTGGTTAATATTTGGAGGGGAAACTATAAGGATTGTATAGCGCTGATGATGTTACCTAGTTTGGCAATGAAACATCTGCAGGAAAACAACCAAGCTCAGAGTGCACCAAGGACTCCATAGTTCAACTCTGAGCAACAAATATTATCTTCTATCAAAACTACAAGAAGTTAGGACTTTAGGCTACACTGCAAAGTAAAAAAAATCAGAAGAATTAGAAGCAGATTATTTCCAAGCTGTTGCCAAGTAAACACTGTGGCTATTTGGAGTCAATAGTCAATTGCAAATCAAGATTCTCTTTTCTTTTTGATACCTACCTTCTGCCTTACAATGAAAATGAACTCAACTGTTTAATCAGTGTTATAACCTGTTGTGATGTGGAGCTGTTGCAGCTATAAATTATTTTAGTATGTGGCCAAATATCTCAAAATCCAGTCATAGACAACTATTTTGTCTAAATTATTAACTCTACAAGCACAACTTCTGAATAAACAATTCATACAACAGAAATTTATGAAGGAGTATTAGAGTTGGGGGGAAAAAATCTCTGAACACCACAAATTAGTTACATACTTTTGTTAATCCAAGCTCTTCAAGCAATTCTTTCTCCCAATAAGGACGCCTTCTTCCACTTCTGATCCTGGTGATAAAGTGTAGTTTATGAGGCTCTTCTGGATTACCACCATATTTTTCATGATCACCAGGTCGTGGTTGAAATACCTAAAAGAGATTAAACTCTCATTAACCAATACAATAAGTAAAATTAGTTATTAATGAGTTCTGGGGCTTATCTTCATATTTCTCTAATCATGACACAAGATGCCCAAATAATCATTTTTAACAGCTTACTATCTAGCTATTGCCCTCATTTCATTCCAGATATCAAAGAGGCAGTTTAAAGTTGTCTTTAGCTTTCTATATTTAAAGTAGGAGTTTCATTCCTCTTCTATCACAATTTATTATTTACTGGCAAGTAATTGGGTTACATGTGATTGAAGAGACTACAGCAAGAGTGAGTAATAGAGTCATTTTTTTGAATACTCTATCAGTTACCTCTGCAGAAGAGAAAGCTACGAAGAGGAGGTATTAATTAGCAAGAAACTAGGTGAAATAAAATAATGGCTAAGTATAGATTCTACAGCCCTTGTAAGGTACATCAGAAACAAAGGCAAGTTAAACTCAGACCTTCATAATTCAATTTTAAAAGTACAAAGGTGAATTCACATTATTTTTACAAGAGATTTTATGTAGTAAAGAACATATTTTGACTGTTTTCATTTGTAATTCTATTTTAATTTGTAATTGTAATGTTTAATTATTGTTTTAACCCAAGGCTTACTGATTCTGGAATTCGAGACCTTGTAAATTTCTGCCTAATCCATATTCTCCAAGGGATTGGTTCGCTTTTTGTCAGATTCTGCAGTATAAGAAACAAAGGAGAGAACAATGTAATACTTCAGAGCTTAATACATAAGAGTCAAATATATCAAGGTTTCAAATAAATCAATGACAAAATGCATGTGCACATATATTAACTCTAAGAAGCTATCATTTTATATTCCCGGAAAACCAAAAGCATCAGAGGTTCACAGGAAGCACATGATATACCAGCCTGGTATTTAAATCAGCTAATTGGAAAGTATAAATAGTTTACAAAGTAAAAAGTACCCGAACGCTTCCTAATACCCACGGCATCAATTTTCTCCAGAATTGGGGTCTCTAATTAAAAACACATTTAAGAACTAAGGTATGCTTTATTCAGCTCCAGCAAGATCGTTCAGCAACATAAAAGGATTTCTGCAACTTGATGCAATCCTCTTCCTGATAAAACAGCTATGTGAAATTTACAGAAATCCTTTAATCATTTCCAGACTTCTCACCTGCCAAGCGGATACATAACACCTCCACGCTGCCATCTTATGCAGCCGATTCGCCTTCTCGCGAAAAGAGACGTGCAAAGTCTCCTCCTCCGCAACCACGAGAAGAGAAGGGCCGGAGACTTAGCTTTAGGCCAGTGTTTCTCAACCTTGACAATTTTAAGGCATGTGGACTTCAACTCCCAGAATTCCACAGCCAGCATTGCTGGCTGTGGAATTCTGGGAGTTGAAGTCCACATGCCTTAAAATTGTCAAGGTTGAGAAACACTGCTTTAGGCCTTTCTAAGCTTTTACTTTCCAGTTCTTACAAAGCACGTGAGCAGAAAGGGGCCGGGTAACTCCGCCTGGTTTCTATTTTGCTTTTTGGATTAGATGGACGTCTTCGCTTTTGCAGATTTTCCGCGTTGTGGTCTGGCTATTGCATTTGGGGCAGCGGCGGCAGAGGAGGAGGAGATCCCGGTCCTCCGCAGAGGAAAGTCTCGTGACTCGTGCCGGGCATCGCTGGCTGATTGATATGGAGGATTCGGCGGCGGCCGCCGTGCTGAAGCGGGCGCTGGAGCTGGATTCGGCTTCGCGTTTTCAGGAGTCGCTGATTTGCTTCCAGGAAGGGATCGATCTCCTCCTTAGTGTGCTAAAAGGTGAGAGTTTTGTCTTGCTACCCCAGAACAAGGAGTGCGGTGCCACATTTCCGACTCAGTAAGTCGAAAAAAGAATTTTGTTTGCCTTGAGCATGCCCAGAGATGGATTGCATATGAACGCGGTAATCCTAATTATAAGGGATCTTTATCACCGAAGGGAGAAGACCTGCATTTGATCTGTTCCCCTTGCCTAGTATTTTAAAAAATTGCAGGATTTAATGCAAAAGGTGTACTCTCACCACCTGTAGAACTGGGCTTCATTAAAATATTTTTGCCCTGTATTTGTTTAGGAACCTCTAATTCGGCAGATGGTCCACTCCCTGCACCCTGTTTAAGTCATTCTGATTGTAAATTTGTAATATGCTTATGCTGGGATTGATCCCTTTCCTGATTCTGGTTTCACTAGAAATAATATTCTCGTCAATGTGTTATCATTTTAACATCCCCCCAGTCACAGATATGTTTGCTTCCATAGTTGTAAATTTTGTAAAATATAATGGGAAATAACTGTAGCATAATGATTAATTCAAATAAATTCAGATGGTGTAATTTTTAAGCAGAAAAATAATGTTCCGTGAGTCCCCATTCTGGCTCTAATGAATTTTAATTAGCTACCTGAAAGCATTGGGAAAGGTTTCAAACTAAATGCAAGTTAAGGAAAAGTTTCAGAGATGGAAGGCTTTTCTATAAAGTACTTCTAGATTCTGATTTCAGACTATTATTTCATCTTCGAAAATTTGCATTAAGTTTCCATTGAATCCTACAGCCTTCCCAATGTGGTCTTTAAATGAAGCATAGGGTACTCCAGGGGAGGCCTAGTGCGGGACCTGTCCTGGGTCTCCCAAAGCCTCCCCTACTCCCTGAGGTATCCCATGCTTCACTTTCTAACCTTCAGAATCCCTGCAGGCCTTGAGCCTGCTTCCTGTACCACTGGGGCCCACACCCTCCTTACTCAGTGTCAGCCATCACACACTTACCTTTCAAAGAGGTTCAGAGCTCAGGTTAGGGAAGTAAAGTAAGCTGCTCCATTGCTGGACTGTGTGGTGCAATTCCAGAAGCAGCTGCCATTTTCTGAGTGGCTGCAATTCAATACAGCCACTTGGAAAATAGAGGCTGCTTCCGCAATCATACTGCATGGCCCATCAATGGAATGGCATGCTGTCCTTTCCTAACCTGAGCTCTGCAGTGTTCCACAACACTGTGGGACACTGTGGAGTTTGAGTTAGAGAAGAAAAGCAAGGTGCTTTGTTGATGGGCTGTGCAGTTCAACTCCAAACAGCCATAATTAAATGCCGAGAACATAAATCCCTCTGAAGAAAAAGGCTTCTATTATACATTTTTAGAAAGTATACTAATCACAATATTTTCTTAATAAGATCTCAGAACACATTCAGATTCCTTACTTGTGCCCATTCATTTAACCATTGTTAAATGGTCATATGCGGACGACCGCTGTAAAGTTTCAGTGGCCTTACGACCTGTACTTGCATTTGTGGTGACCATCACATCACACCCACAGTCACATAATTGCAAATCAGGCACTTGGTTACAGCTTGCATTTACAGCCAATTGCAGCTTCTTGTAACTTCTTTGTTATTGCAATTTGCAACTTTTTTTGCCAATGGACATGCCCATTGAGGAAGCTGGATTCGCTTGATGACCCCTGTAAATATTTGTTGTAGAATCATGTCCCACTCGTATGACTACAATGATTTACATTGGAAATTCTGGCCCCTATTGTAGTCGTAAGTTAAGGACTACCTGTTCTTTCAGCTGCCTAGAAAAAGGGGCGTGGGCAGTATAGGTATAGGTATTCTTTTTCCATTTTTCATTTCTTTCATGTCTTCTGTTTGCAGCTACAAAAGATGAGAAGAAAAAGGCTTACTACAGAAACAAAATATCAGATTACATGAACAGAGCGGAAACAATTAAAAAATATGTTATGAAGGAAAAAGAAGGTATGAAGTTATAATGGAAGGTCTTTTTAATTCAGCCATAACTGTAATGAAGTGGGATGCTTAGTGAAAGTTTGCTCTTGTGCTTAGATGGGAAATACCACAAACAAATAAAAATTGAAGAGAATAGCAAAGGATTCAGCTATGAAAAATTGTTCCAAGAGTATCTAAATGAAACTGTTACAGAGGTTTGGGTTGAGGATCCTTACATTCGCCAAGTCCATCAGGTGAGATAGCACTGCTGCAATTAATCAAGACATTTTGCCCTTTTCCATCTGAAAAATTAATCTTATTTAATTTTCTATAGTTGTACAACTTCTTAAGATTCTGTGAAATGCTTGTTAAAGGACCATGCAGAATGAAAACTATACACCTTCTTACCTCTCATGAAGAAGTAAGTATTTATGACTAATCATATTACAAAATTTAGTAAGAATTATTTATATTTAGGATTGCATGAATGTCCTTTTACTCAGCTGAATGGAAGTATTATTGTGATCACCATGATTAGAATACAGAAAAGAATTTTCATTCTGTAAATAATATTTTCTTTCTATCACATTTTGGGTCAGAAAAGCAATTGATGGAAAAATCAATTTGTGGATGAAAAAGACTGCTATCACTTGCATTAAAATTAAATACTTTATATTAATGGGAGTTAGTTTTGCTTTGGGTAAGAATAGTTTAAAAAAAGCTAAATGTAGGTATGTTTTACAGTAAGATAATATCAATTTTAAGTTGATAATTAGAAAAAAATGGAAGATATTGAATCAAATTATTGTTTTTGGCTCAAAATTTTGTATGTTTATTGTAATAGTTCCTCAAAGTTTCTTTCCAATATCTACAGGAAATGTCAAAAAGTTTTATTACGTATCTTTTGCATCTAGGTTTATCCCCTACTGCTGAGATACAGTTTTACTACCATTTCTAATATTATATTTTGTATTAGTGCTTTACAAATTATTTACTCTGAAAATCTGTATTGTATAGTAGGAGATGTCAGAATCAGAGAGGGGAAATCTTCCTCTGGCTTTTCCACTAGCCTCTGAGGCCTATTGTTTCTATGTTTTTATGTATGGCTTCTGTGTCATGGAATCAGGGTTTTCTTTGTTGTTGTTGTTGTTAATTGCGAAGTCGTGTCCGACCCATCACGACCCCATGGACGTTCCTCCAGGTCTTCCTGTCCTCTACCATCTTCCATTTAAGTTCACGCCTACTGCTTCAGTGACTCCATCCAGCCACCTCATTCTCTGTCGTCCCCTTCTTCTATTGCCCTCAATCTTTCCCAGCATTAGGCCCTTCTCCAGTGAGTCCTTCCTTCGCATTAGGTGGCCAAAGTATTTGAGTTTCAACTTCAGGATCTGGCCTTCTAAAGAGCAGTCGGGGTTGATCTCTTCTAGGACTGACCGGTTTGAACGCCTTGCAGTCCAAGGGACTCGCAGGAGTCTTCTCCAACACCATAGTTCAAAGGCCTCAATTCTTTGTTGCTTAGCCTTTCTTATGGTCCAAATTTCATATCCATACATTGCAACTGGGAAAACCATGGCCTTGACTATACGCACTTTTGTTGGCAGGGTGATGTCTCTGCTTTTTAGTATGCTGTCTAGATTTGCCATAGCTTTCCTCCCCAGGAGCAAGCGTCTTTTTAATTTCTTGGCTGCAGTCCCCATCTGAGGTGATTTTGGAGCCCAGGAAAATAAAATCTGTCACTACCTCCATTTCTTCCCCATCTACTTGCCAGGAATTGAGAGGGCCGGATGCCATGATTTTGGTTTTCTTAATGTTGAGTTTCAAGCCAACTTTTGCACTCTCCTTCTTCACCCGCATCAAGAGGCTCTTTAGTTCCTCTTAACTTTTTGCCATTAGAGTGGTATCATCTGCATATCTTAGGTTGTTGATATTTCTCCCGGCAATCTTAATTCCAACTTTTGATTCATCTAGCCCTGCCTTTCTCATGATGTGCTCTGCATATAAGTTAAATAGGCAGGGCGACAGTATACAGCCTTGCCGGACTCCTTTCCCAATTTTGAACCAATCAGTGGTTCCGTGTCCAGTT